TGCTCCTGCTCCTGCTCCTGCCGTAGCGCATCACTGTGTATGTGTCCCTGCTGCCACCAGCAGACGGCATGAGGCGGCGTTGCAAGAGGGAACTGCATGGTCTTGAGACTCCTCCAAATCACCTCCATGCCCATGCTGCCACGCTCACAATCAAGTGCTGCTTCTGCCCCTGCTGCTCCTGCTCCTGCTCCTGCCGTTTCTGCTGCTCTTGTTCCTGTCGCTGCTGACACTTCTCCTGCTGCTGCATCCGCAGCTGCTGCTTCTGCCACAGCTGCCCCTCCCGCACCTGTTCCTGCATCTGCTGCTCCCACTTGTGCCTCCGCTGCTCGAGCTTCTGCTGCGCGTGCCTCTGCTATTTGAACTCCTGCTGTTGTTGCCCCTGCTGTTGCCCGTCCTGCTGCCGATTCACCTGGTGCCCCTCGTGGTTCTGCCTCCTCCTGCACCCTTTCGCGCTCACCTTCTCTTTTCTCCTCCTCAGAAACCCCATCCTTTTTCTTCTCCTTCTCTAGAAACCCCTGAATCTCCTGGTACTGTGCCTTCAGCTCCGTGTGACGCATCTGGATGGGGTCGCAGCAGGGACGGCATGGAAAGGGGAGAAGAAAAAGGAGGGATGGGGGGAGCAGGACATTGCCTTGACTGCTTTTTCTAGAAACGCCTGAATCTTCTGGTACTGCGCCTTCAGCTCTGTGTGACGCATCTGGGGCAGCAGGGAGGGCATGAGAAGAGGAGAAAATGAAGGAAAGGGGGGAGGAGCAGGACATTGTCTTGACTGCTTCTCAAGATAGGCCTCGATCTCTTGGTACTGAGCCTTCAGCTCCGTGTGACGCATCTGGGTAGGGTCGCAGCAGGGACGGCATGGAAAGGGGAGAAAACAAAGGAGGGATGGGGGGAGCAGGACATTGTCTTGATTGCTTCTCTAGAAGCGTCTGAATCTCCTCATACTGCTCCTTCAGCTCCGTGGGACGCATCTGGGGCAGCAGGGAGGGCATGAAGGGGGGATGGGCTCAGCAAGACGTTGTCTTGACTGTAGCGCAGATGTCTGCTTCTTCTCAAGAAATGCCTGAGTCTCTCTCGCTCTCTCCCAGGCCGAGACTGACACCAACTCGGCCTGGAAGAGAGCGAAATTTAATAATAAAAATAATAATAATAATAATCATAATAATAATAATAATAATAATAATCATAATAATAATAATAATAATAATAAAGCAGGAAACTTACATGAACCTGCTCTGCCTGAGCATTCAGGGACGAGGCGAGGTGCTCAATCACAATTCCAGAATCGCAGTGCTGCTGGATGGTCCTCCTGCAGGAAGCAGGAGCGGGAAGGGATTGGGTGTGGTGGAGTGGGTTGGAATAAGGTGGAGTGAGATTTGAAGGACGAAGCAAGACGCTCAAGGAACAGACAGCCAGACACAGCAGAGGGACGGGGATTTGGGTGCGGTGGAGTGTGGTTGTGTGAGGTGCACTCACCATATGAGTGCATCCTGCACGGCACTGAGTTGGCTGTTGCTGGGCTGGCCCTCATCCTCCGACTCGCTGCACACACCCGCCCACCCACACACACCGTACTCTCTCCCCATCACCACACCCACCCACCCACCCCCTCTCCTCACCATATCAGCGCGTCCTGCACGGCACTAAAGTCCTTGAGTTGGCTGTTGCTGGGCTGGCCCTCATCCTCTGACTCGCTGCACACAGTCGTCTCCGCCTTATCCGCGTCGTAGTACAGCCTCCTCCTGCCCACTAGTGACTGCTCGTCCGGGATCTGCTCGTTCCTGTTTGGGGTGTGGGAGTGAGGATAAGAGGAAAAGGCGGAGTCATTGTGAAGGTTCACTGCGCTGCACACAGTCGTCTCCTCCTTCTCCGCATCGTAGTACAGCCCCCTTCTCCCCGCTAGTGACTGCTCGTCCAGAATCTGCTCGTTCCTGTGTGCGGGTGCAGGGGTGATTATAAAGGAAGCGAGGACGAGAGGGGAGTCACAGGAGAGGCTTGCTGCACATCACAGTCGTCTCCTCCTTCTATGCGTCGTAATACAGCCTCCTGCGTCCCACTAGTCATTGTCTGCACACAGTTGTCTCCTCCTTCTCTGCATCATAATACAGCCGCCTCCGCCCCACTAGTGACTGCTCGTCTGGAATCTGCTCGTTCCTGTGGGAGTGGATCACATCACATGGAAATGAGCGTGGTATATCTGCGCTGCGCTGCGCTTCACACCGTCATCTCCTCCTTCTCTGCGTCGTAGTACAGCCGCCTCCTCCCCTCCCCTCCCTGCAGCACCCCCACCCCTCATTGGTGCAGCCACCAATGATTGCTCGTAAGGAATCTGCTCGTTCCTGTGAGGGGGGTGGGGGCACCGAGGAAGAGGAAACTCACTTAGCGAGGAAGATCCAGGTGGTGAAGCTGGGTACGTTCTGCACAGCCCGGCCGCCCGCCATGTTGATAGGACTCGTCCGAACAGCTGCCAGTGCCACCATCTCACACCCACCACCACCACCCCAGCTGCTGTGTTTCCCAAACTCACTTGGCGAGGAAGATCCAGGTGGTGAAGCTAGGAACGTTCATTCAACTGTTTCAACACCACAATACGATAGGATAGGACTATGACCCCCCTCACGACAATCGGCAGCAGCCCAGCCCTCTTTCTCACCCCCAACAAGACCAGACCATCACCTGCATTTTCAACCAACTCACTTGGCGAGGAAGATCCAAGTGGTGAAGCTAGGTACGTTCTGCACAGCTGCCATTTTGATGGGAGTCGTGCGAGGGGCTGCCACCATCTCACACCCACCACCACCACCACCACCACCACCACCACCCCTCCCTCCCTCCTGGTGCACTTTGATTTGATTGTTTGCAACCAAAATAAACCACCACAATTTTGATCGGATCGTGCCAAGCCAATCAGAAGCAGCCCTCTCACTCTGGACTGAACTCACTTGGCGAGGAAGGTCCAGGTGGTGAAGCTAGGTACGTTCTGCACTGCTGCCATTTTGATGGGATTAGTGCGAGGGGCTGCCACCATCTCACACCCACCACCACCCCTCCCTGCTGCACCCCCTCCCACACTCCCCACTCCATTGCCCCCTGCATTCCCCCATGTATTACCCCCTGCAGTCCCCCCTACTCCTGCTCCTGCTGCGACTGCTCCCCATGCTCTTTCTCCCCCTGATCGTTCCCCCGTCATTCCATTCGCTTTCAGTACTGTTGAGATCGCACCCCAACCTCCCGCTCCCGGACCTGCCATGCCCGAACCAGCTACTCCCAAGACCGCCAGTCCCGAACCTGCCATCCCCGAACCAGCTCCCGGACCAGCTCCAGGGCCTGCACGTCTAGGTGCACTCGAGGACGCTTCTTCGTTTGCTTGCTGCTGCCTAAAATCATGCTGACTTGGCCAGGGAACACCCCCAGCAGCAGCACTAGCAGCAGCCATGTGTTTCGCTTTGATAGCCAGCAGCTTTTTCCGATTCTCAGCCAGAAGCTCCTGGGCGAAGGAAAAATATTTGTTGGATGAATTACAGAAATCATGCCGTAAGTGCAAGAGTTTATGGATACGCCTCCTACAGCAGCAGCAGCAGCAGCAGCAGCAGCAGCAGCAGCAGCAGCAGCAGCAGCAGCAGCAGCAGCAGCAGCAGACTGATTAGGGCTTTTGGTAGAACATGAAACAAACGAAAAAGAAAAGGACAAGGAGAACTACACGCACTTGAACGACAGCTGTCCGTTGACGCTGGCTCTCCGCCTTAATCCCCGCAATTCCCCGCCGAATCTCCGAGTTCCGCACCGCCGCGGACACCCCATCCGCGGGAGCAGCGGGCGCAGCTGATACCACCATCATGGCTTCCCCCGTCTCCGCATCTTGCGCCGGCGCATGCGCTGCAGACCCGTCCGCGTGTGGAGGTTGACGTGTAGTAGCAGCAGCTAAAAAATCTACGTCCAGGCGTCGCGCGGTAGGCGGCGGCGGGTCCGCCATTGCCGCAGCTGCTGCGGACTAGGGAGGAGGGTCTGTCCCGTGTTCCGTGTTCGGTGTTCGGTTTTTTGTGTTCCTAAAGTAATGTCCTGAAGATGAATTATGTAACTGCAATTTGAAGAGCAAAACAATTTCTGTACTAATTGGAGTATGAGATTTTCAGGATGTGAAATAGAATGCAAAATATTATAAAGCCAAAAACAGTAATATGAATCTGCAATAGTGTTTTTTATCATTAGTTTTACAAACGCAGACAAATTATGCTAGCTTATGGCTCCTATTTCTTCTCCAACTACACCTTTCCTCTGACCACACTCAAGTTTTCGGAGGCAGATTTGGGGAAGTGGGCTTTTGGGTGGACCCAACTCACAACTATGGAGGCACATTATAACGTTAATCATACAAATATGTTCCTCCTTTTCCTCCTCTTCTTGCTCTTGCTGCTTCTCGCCCTACTGCTGCGCGTGTGCCTGAGCCTCCGTCCTCCCCTTCTGCTACCACACTGCCTCCCTCTTGCAGGGCCGTTACGCTGACCACTCAATGATTCGACTACCGCCCTTTCTTCTCCTCCTGCTGCTCCTGCTCCTGCAGCTTCTCCCCCTGCTGCTGCCCCTGTCCTTGACCCTCCTTCCTCCCCTTCTGCTGAAGCGCTGCCTTGGACACCGCCAAAGCACCTTTCATCCGCCACAGGTCCAGCTGAAAGGCACCCACTATCATGCCTCTGGTGAGTCGGGGCGGTGTGTAGAGCTGCCTCCTGATGGCCCCGCTACTCACTCCGACCACTCAAAGATCTGACTACCGCTCTTTCTTCTCCTCCTGCTCCTGCGCCTTCTCCCCCTGCTGCTGCCCCTGCCCCTGACCCTCCTTCCGCCCCTTCTGCTGCTGCTTCTCTGCCTCACACGTTGCCAGAGCACCCTTCATCCGCCACAGATCCAGCTGAAAGGCACCCACGATCATGCTTCTTGTGAGCCAAGAATGCGTGCAGACCTGCCTCCTGCTGCCCGATACTCACTCCGACCATCCAAAGATCTGACTACCGCTCTTTCTTCTCCTCTTGCTCCTGCTCATTCTCCTTCCCCGCCTGCTGCTGCCCCTGTCCCTGACCCTCCTTCCGCCCCTTCTGCTGCTGCTTCTCTGCCACGCACGCTGCCAGAGCACCCTTCATCCGCCACAGGTCCAGCTGAAAGGCACCCACTATCATGCTTCTCGTGAGCCGGGGCGGTGTGTAGAGCCCAGGCGCCAGGGAAGACGGGGAGAGGAACGGCGTCGCTCGGGGGATGAACCTGTTGCTGCTGGTGCTGGAGGCGGTGGTGAGCGGTGGAAGGCGGTTGACTTCGGTGCCGTTGTGGAAGAGTATGAGGGTGGGGAGCTGAGAGGAGAACACTGAGCGGGGTGAGAGGGAGGAAGGGAAGGCGGGAGGTAGGAAGGGAGAGAGAAAGAAACACTGCTCTCTCCATGGTATACAGGATACCATGAAACCACTGCTCTGAGATTACAGATTGTAAGTGCGTCCATGATGTTTAAGAGCCTATTTTTGAGTGCATAGAAAGACGAGCGAGTTGTCCAACAAGATCATCCAAATCAAGGCCCAAAAGAAATTCTACCAATCATTCATCATGGGGACTCGATGCGAGATTTAAGGTGGTGGTACACGAATTTTCCAGCAATATACGGATCATCGATCTTGGGGTGGGGACTCCATGCGAAATGATATGTACAACAGAAGATACGTGCTGCCTGTATCGATGGGGAAGTGTGCAAGGAGAATCAATGGAGAATCTTACAGACCTGTCAGAGGGGTACACAAGAGAAGCACTCACTGGTAGTATCAATAGAGAATCTCTCAGCCCCATCAGTGAAGCGAGAGACATCACGTTTGAAATTTCTCAAAAGTGATTTTTATGCAGCCCGTTCAGAGGGTTACACAAGTGAAGGCACTCACTGGTGGTATCAATAGAGAATCTCTCAGCCACGTCTGGGTGTGGTAAGTCGATTTTTTAGTCGACTCAAAAATCGAAGCACTCACTGGTGGTATCAATGGAGAATCTCTCGGCCACGTCCGGGAATCGAGAGACATCCAACCGTCCAGAGTGGACAGGTGTACGCAAGGGGCCGCAAGGCAAGAGTATACAAGCGAAGCACATAAGTGAAGCACATAAGTGAGAGCACTCACTGGTAGTATCAATGGAGAATCTCTCAGCCACGTCAGGGAATCGAGAGACATCCAACCGGCCAAAGTGAATCTGGGGGCCTTGGCCATACCTTGGAGAAATAGGGAAGGAAGGGCAAAGGAAGACACAGTATTATTGTCATTAGTTGGCACTACATTTTGTTACATGATTACAGCATACTCAGTGCCTGGAAGGCTTTGAAGAACGTGGGTAAGCTTGCATAGAACAAAATACTGAGAAGAGTGGGCTGCAGAAAGATGTAGGCTGCCGTGCCGAAGATTGAAAACTGGGGTAGGGCGGTCAGTGGTGACAAAGAAGGAAACAGTTGGAGACTAGTGGTCTATCCGACTCAAGGGAATGCAAGGGAGAATTACTCGTGGGCGTGGGTGGGAGAAGTTGATGGGGCAAGGAGGCTTACTGGTTGGCAATGTCAACAAAGAGAGACATGTGCTGATGGCACGGGGGGGGACCAGCTGGCATAGAACATGACTTTGAGGCGCCTCATAAGGCGGGTGTAGGGACTTACTGGTTGGCAATGTCAATGAAGAGAGACATGTGCTGATGGCACGGGGGATTATGAGTCGACTCAAAAGTCAAGAAAACACTACTGGAGGGCAGAGGGTGAGGGCGTGAAGGGGCTTACTGGTTGGCAATGTCAACGAAGAGAGACATGTGCTGATGGCACGAGGGGGACCAGCTCGTATAGAACATGACTTTTGAGGCGCCTCAAAAGGCGGGTGAGGGGGCGAGCGGGTGAGGGGCCTTACTGGTTGGCAATGTCAACAAAGAGAGACTCAGAGACATGTGCTGGTGGCACGGGGGGGGTTGAGTCGACTCAAAACTCGACTCAAAAGTCAAGTGAAACCTACCCGTGGGCAGAGGGTGAGGGCATGAGGGGGCTTACTGGTTGGCAATGTCAACAAAGAGAGACATGTGCTGATGGCACGGGGGGGACCAGCTCGCATAGAACATGACCAGGCATGGCACGTTGGATGCTGACGTGGCAGTTTCCACTGGCGCTACCAGCTCCAGCTGGCGAGGGATCATCTCAAGAAAGGCGTCGGATGCTGACGTGGCAACACAAGTAGGGGGGTGGTGGAGAGGGGTCAGTGCGTGAATGAGAAAGGAAAGTGTGTGTGAGTGTGTGCGCCTGTGTGTGTGTTTCTACCAGTGTCTGTGTGCATGTGAGTGCACATGCTGCACGTGTGTGTATGGTTGAGGGGAAAGTGCCTCAGTGTGTGTGCGCGCTCGCGCGCGTGTGCACGAAGTGTGTGTGTACGTGCGTGCAACGTGTGTGTGCGCGTGCGTGCGTGCTTGTGTGCGTTTCTCCGTGGACTGACCTGATGGGGTTGCTGGTGACCGCTGGGGGCAAAGAAGAAAGATCACTGCACATGCAGGTGGTTGAAGAAAAGGGGACAGGCGGGGTGACTTTTGAGTCGACTCAAAACTGACCTGATGGGGTTGCTGGTGACCGCTGGGGGCAAAGAAGAAAGATCACTGCACATGCAGGTGGTTGAAGAAAAGGGGACAGGCGGGGGTGGGGAGGTGCGGATGAAATGTGAAGAGTGTTGCATAGTGCGCAAGAGGAGGGGGGAAGGCAGAGGAAAGAAGGAATGTGGAAAGGCAGACAGGAAAGTGAGAATGGCGAGAATAGAGTTCCAGGCGCATTCTGAGGGATGGAAGCGAGAAGGAAGGTAAATGCTTACACACACACACACACACACACGAATGAAACACAGGAGGTCAACAAGAATCTGTCGACTCTAAAGTCATTATTTCTGCACACTCACACATGAACGCAAGGAGGTACCAGACACATATGCGGGGATCCACAGCCCACAGGAGAGCAACGAGAATCATCTGCAGCAAAAGCAGGGAGCCAGCGACAGGGAAACAGGTGTTTTCAGAACAGAACAAAGGAGGGGGAGCAGAGAAAATTATGCTTAAAAGGACGATTTGAGGACATTTGAGCAACATTCAACAAACGAGCATTCCGGGCGCAATTGTATGTAAGGAGGGCAAGACACGGAAACGAGCACTTGCAGTTGCTCTGAGGGGGTGGTGAGCAAGGAAAGGAGTGGAAGGATGTGCCTTGGTGTTGAACATGATGGAAGAAAAGGACTTACGGGACAAACCAGAACAGAAGGCGAGAAGGGAAGGCAAGAAGGCAAGGCGAGAAGGGAAGGCGAGAAGGGAAGGCGAAGGGAGACGTGCCTTGGTGTTGAACATGATGGATGAAAATGCTGCTTCGGCTGTGTTGGCTCGCCATAACTGCGCTCACATCACATGGCAATGTCATGTCATGCCATGCCATACCATACCACGCCATACCATGCCATGCCATACCATGCCATGCCATGCCATACTACCATGCCATGCCATGCCATGCCATGCCATGCCATACTACCATGCCATGCCATGCCATGCCATGCCATACCATGTCATGTGATACAGAGGAAATCATGCCATAAGCAGCAAACAAGTGCATTCTTAGGCTTAAACAAAGTGCTGCTGTTGCTGATAGGCATTGCGCGAATAACTCGTTGCTGCTGCTGACAGTGCACCTTCTGTGATGCACTGAAAAAGGCCGAAGAGAAACTTCAACGTTCACAACACATTCAGAGACGCGGTGCTACTGCTTATAGGCACTGCAGCTGACACCACACCTTGTACGACGCGCTGAGGAGAAGGCCGAAGAGAACATGCCGCTCCTGCCATGATTGGATCATGCGAAAGAAACGGAAGGGAGACGGGAGTGACGACCGTGAGTGGTGAGAGTTCAAAAGAGGTGGAAAGAGGTGGAAAGAGGTGGAAAGTCAGAGATAGGGAGGCTAACAGCACTCGCAAACAGAAAATCTGCACTATCTGAGTCGCCGAACATACCCAGTATAGTCGCCAGACTTACTTAATTGGTCTGGTACCGAGAGATCACACGCTGCTAAATAAGGGTCGCCAGACGTACCCATTCGCCGGACTTACCCATTTGTAGAGCACCGCAAGGTCTCTCGAGAATGAGCCTCCGGAGACGACGGCGATTCGCACGGGGAGAACGGAGAGCACGGTGAGGAGATTAACTACGTAGTACGGCGACAAGAACGTGCTCAGCCGGCTGGTAGGCCCCGAATTCGCCGCTCCTTCCGCCGGATTTTCAGGCCGCACATCCATGGACTGCGATACAGTGAGGCTCCAGCAACGAGTAACGGAATACAGTCCTGGTCCGTCGAATCAGCACCAAGGTATTGCCGAATCAGAGCCAAGGATTGGGTGAATGTTACGCGAATCAACGCCGGGTGGCTCAGGTGAGTCAAAAAGCAAGGACCAGACACGTCAGGGGGAACGCGGCAACAGCGGTGCGCTGCAAGCTGCGTGATCGTACAATCAGTACCACGCTATCGGTGTGCTATCTTTGTGTCAAACTACGCTACTCTCATTTGCATAAAGAGAACAATTGTGAAGTATGGTGTGGCAAGATGCTAGTGGAAGAGATCAGAGAGAAACACCTTCTGGACGCGGTTAGAGTCGGTTTTGTAAGTTGTAGAGACGGTAATCGGGGTTGCAGTACGGTTGTTTTACACTGAGCCCTGATCCTCGATCTTGTCTGCTGAGTAGGGCATAACTAGGATGTGAATCCGGGCGCGCTAAGGGCACATCCGGACCTCGATACTGTTCGATATTGCAAGGCACAAGAATATCAAAGCAGTTAAATCTGACCAAAGAAACTGCAGCTGAACATGCTGTTCCAAACACGTGTGAGCTACAAGAGACTAGTTTTGTTGTACACATAAAATCCGCGTCCAAAAACTCTGCTAGGCACTAAACCCATTAAAAACACGTGTTTAGGCATGCTTCATCTAGTGCACCCATGATCGGGGTGTGTAGGAACTAGGGTTCAACGGTAGGTACAAACCACTTCCAGAGAATGGAGTGGTCGAGTGTAATTTTAGGTGATAACGGTAGGTGCAGTACGGCCAGTAAATTCCTCGATCTTGGAGACCTTAATAGCCACATCAACCTATGTGGAGTAGGGACAAAAAGGGTGGATTGAAGAGGGGACGGAACGATGAACAAAAGTACAAGGACGAACGAAGAAAAAACAAACTGGATGAATGTGCGCGAAGAAACAGTCGACAAACATACAGTAAACACGAAAATCTGGAAAGGACAAATAAGCTGACAAAGAAGCGAAACACCAGCACCAGCACATACCAGGGGAGCAAGCACATCAGCCGGGTTGCCATCGATCTTGGAGCTATCTGCCACATACTGCTCAATGTACACACGGACGGTTGCCCCCACTGACCCCGTGCCCGACAGGCGGAAGATCTGCAGAGCAAGGAGGGGAGAATGGATTATGGGTGGAAGAAGAAAAATCATCCAATAAAGTTGCTGTCATCGATCTTGGAGCTATCTGCCACATACTGCTCAATGTACACACGGACGGTCGCCCCCACTGACCCCGTGCCTGACAGGCGGAAGATCTGGAGGGCAGAGGAGGTGGGCGCGGGCCATGGGTGGGAAATGCGACAATATCATCAGTCTTGGAGCGATCGGCCCCGTATTGCTCAATGTACACACGGATTGTTGGCCCCCACCGACCACGTACCCGACAGGGGAGGTGGGCATGTCGAGAAGGGGAAACAGAACAAAGGGCAGGCGCCATGTCAGGACTCTGCAATCCATCTCAAAGCCACCTGTGACACGTTGCTCAATGAGGTGGGGCCATCAGCTAACGATGATATGGCCCGGCGACTGGAGAGACAGAGGGAGACACAGAGCTGATATCAGGCCTTGGGGAAACCCTTACCAATGCCCTGGCGGCTGAACACTGAGCCATGCACTACTAGCATTTGAGTTTCATCCATGTGGATTATATAGAAAAGCCTTACCAGTCTGGAGCAATTCAGCAAAGAAGAACCGAATGCCCTGATGGCTGGAGACTGAGGCATTTACAAGGAGCAATCAAGTTTCAGTCACAATGGCTTTTGAGTCGACTCAAAAGTCACTTCTTTACAAGGAGCAATCAAGTTTCAGTCACAATGGCTCCAATGAAAAGAAGAGAGCTTACCAGTCTGGACCCATCAGCGAAGTAAAACCGAATAGACTGGTGGCTGGACACAGAGCCATCCACAAATAAAATCTTAGTCGAACCACCTCCCTCACTGAGACTGGCGACTGCTTACCAGTCTGGAGCCATCAGCAAAGAAGAACCGAATGCCCTGGTGGCTGGACACAGAGCCATCCACAAATAGCAATTAAGTTTCATTCACGTGGATGATATGAAAAAGAGAACCTTACCAGTCTGGAGCCATCAGCAAAGAAGAACCGAATTCCCTGGTGGCTGGAGACAGAGCCATCGACGGGGTCCTTGTACTCAAACTCGTCCCCCCTCACCACGTCCGCTGCTGCGCTGTTCGCTGCCTTGATGGCCCTGTTCAGGAAGCGGACGGAAAGGGGGAGGGAAGGAAAGAAAAAAGGGAGTAGTGAGAGACGCATGAGACACAGAGGCATCCATGTGGTCCTTGTACTGTTCTTCCAAGGATTCCACAACTGGACTCTAAACCCATTCCACGTGATGGGAGTGCTCAAACTCGTCCCCCCTCACCACGTCCGCTGCTGTGCTCTTGGCTGCCTTCACAGCCCTGTCAACAAAGAGGGGTGAAAATGAGCGAAACAACATGTCAGTAATGCAGCAGGAAACAACGGAGTAGTGAGATTTGCATGGGAAACAGAACCAGAGATCGTTCGTTTGCTGCCAGAAAACACCAAAACATGTTAATGTACGAATGCACGTGCTAGTTATCATGCGTGTCTTAGATTGCAGAGCTCCGTAATCATGGGGTTAAGATGATATGAGCTCAAGAGTTAGGAACGCACGTGTTGAGTGCAGCGATGTCTGCTTGGCTGGCGACAAGATTAGCCATGATCTTCTTTGCACCCTCTGCATCCACTCCCTGTCATCATGACATAAAACGAGTGAGATAACAGGAGCGAAATGATATGGGGTTGACACAGGGAGTAAAGCACGAAATGATTCCTTGCGATGACATGATACAGAACAGCAACACCAGCATCTCACAGCCTCTCACCGCACCTCACCGCATCTAACCGCTTCTCATGCATCAAGCCTCGTAGTCGTATTTCGTGTAAAATTGCCGGCCGTATTTGGCCCATTGCTGCCTCACTTTCTCCTCCACAGTTACCAGCTGCCCTTTAGGTCAAGGAGCCCCAGCTACAGGCTATAGGGCTCATACAGGGCTCATCCTACGATTCAAGAGGCAGGGCTTCACACAGTGACATGGATTCTTACCTCGTATCATATCGGGTGTAGAAGTGCTGGCCTGTACTTGGCCCAGTGCTGTCTCACGATCTCCTCCAGTCACCAGCTGCCCCTCACTGCCTCCCACTGCACCTCACCGCATATAACCGCCTCTCACCGCATCTCACCTCGTAGACATATCGGGTGTAAAAGTGCTGGCCGTACTTGGCCCAGTGCTGCCGCACTACCTCCTCCACAGTCACCAGCTGCCCTGTAGGTCAGGGTGCCCCAGCTACAGGCTATAGGGATCATACAGGGCTCATCCAATCCAACTAAGGGGCAGGGCTTCACACAGCAGCATGGACTCTTACCTCATAGTCGTATCGGGTGTAGAAGTGCCGGCCGCATTTGGCCCAATGCTGTCTCACGATCTCCTCCACAGTCACCAGCTGCCCCTCACTGCTGCTGATGTCCCTGTTGGCCAAGATGGAGAACCACTCACAACTTTTCACCGCACCTCACCGCACCTCACCGCATCTCACCTCATAGTCATATCGGGTGTAGAAGTGCCGGCCATACTTGGCCCAGTGCTGCCGCACTATCTCCTCCACAGTCACCAGCTGCCCCTCGCTGCTGCTGCTGTTCCGGTTAGCCAGGATGGAGAGCCACGCTAGGATAGCCCACATGCCATCCTTCTCCCTAATGTGGTCCGACCCTGGGAGTGCAAGGCAAAAGCGTGCAGAAAAAAAGCAAAGCAAAGCACAGAAGTGAGGGAAAGGGGAGATGGACAAGCTCCAGCTGCCCTTCACTGATGCTGCTGTTACTCCAACTCCAGAGACAAGCCTCACGAGACCCGAACCTCTCGAATTCCGAGCCTCACACGTTCCGAACCGAACCTCACCTGTGCCGAAGCTCTCTTCACCGCAGACAGAGCACATGCCCGCATCCATAAGGTTGCCGAAAAACTTCCACCCTGTCGGCACCTGCAACCACAACAGCAGAAGCGCACACACCACAGGAGAAAGAGTCAGGAAAGCACTCAGTCTGCTGACTCTGAGCCCTCTTCACCGCAGACAGAGAACATGCCCGCGTCCATAAGGTTGCCGAAAAACTTCCACCCTGTCGGCACCTGCAAGTTCAGCAGGCAAGAAATGAAAGAAACAGAACCCGGAAAACATGCCGACATAGCAAAGCTTTCACTTTCCAGACGAATTTCACCCTGTGGATGGGGCACCCGTGCAAGCACTTGATAGCCACGGCATGCAATAAGACATCAGCAGCAACCTTCCAACTTTCCAATCGGTCCATATTGATGCGGGAATGGGTACAGGCGTAGGCAACAGACAATAAGGCATCTCTCCACATCCCAAAGCAGATGAAAAAATTAACAAGAATTTCTAGGGGAAAAGCGGACCTGTGTGAAACAGGGGATACTGAGCTGATTAAGGAATGGAGTCAACAGGAGTGTCTTTTAACATGGAGAGAGAATTTGAAAGAGCATCTTTCTACCTCAAAGAACTTGAGTCCAAGCTCCACATCAAGAGCTGCAGACGTGGGCATGCTCCTGGCCACGCCCTTGATCCCGCCCTTGAAGTACACGAGGAGACTTACAGAGGGATGGAGAGGAGTGCAGAGGCGTGGAGTGCAATAAATAACCTACCTCGAAGAACTTGAGACCGAGTTCCTTGGCGACAACATCCAGAGCAGCGGACGTGGGCATGCTCCTGGCAACGCCCTTGAGCCCGCCCTTGAAGTAGGGGATGCTGGCCTCCGCGTTGGCTGCTATGATGGCCACCGAGTCAGACGGCGTCACGAAGAACCTGTTGAAGGGCAGGGCAAAGCAGGAAGCAACGATGACGGTCATGAGGCGTCTCTCAGGAAATGCACCAGCATTGTCCACTCCACGCCCGTTGATGAAGTAGGGGATGCTGGCCTCCGCGTTGGCTGCTATGATGGCCATTGACCGAGTCAGACGGCGTCACAAAGAACCTGCCAGGAGGAGGCCAACAGAGGGACGCAAGGAGGGCAGTACTCAGATGCCTTGCCTCCCAGGCAATGGAGCAGCCTTGAAACCAGACCCATCCCCTCACCCGTGCATACCTCCTGCCCAGACCCCTACCAGCACGCTCCTACAGATCTCCTGCCCAGACCCCCACCAGCACGCACTTACCTACGACTCGTCCAGGCCCCTACCACCTCGCCCTTACACACCTCTTGCCCAGAACCATGTTGCGATCAGCGTCCCCGTCACAGGCAGCACCGAATTCAGGCGGCTCCTGAGCAGGCTGGTGCTTGCCCAGCCCCATGGCCTCCACCAGGTCATGCGCGTACGTCAGGTTGGGGTCGGGGTGGCCACCACCAAAGTCCTCCTGACATAGGGAAGAAGAGATAGAGATAAGAGTCATGACAGGGGTGGCTACTACCGAAGTCATTCTACGGGGGGTGCGGTTTTCAGGGTTTAGGGTGGGGTTGTGGAACGGGGGGTGAGATTTTCAAGCAGAATGCAGGAGTGCGGAGCACAATGTGGGATCATATAGCAAGAGGCAGGACGCACCTTTGGCACGCAGTTGACGAGGGACGAGGCTGGCACTCCCAGCTCGCGCACAAACAGCTTCTCCGCGTATGCTCCCGCCACGCCGTGCAGCCCGTCCAACCTGCGAGATGCAAGAAGCAATAAAAGGTGAAGAGAAACAATGGCTCGTGAGTTGACTTAGAAAAGATTCGCCACGTATGCTCCCGCCACGCCATGCAGCCCATCCAACCTGCGAGAAGCAGGAAACAGTAAACAATACGAGTTCGGGTATCAGGAGAATAGAATGATGTCACCGTTTCGTCCCATGAAGTAACATGAAAGCATGCAAGTGCCGTCAGTTCAATTCAAGATCCTTTTGCTCGTCTTCTTTTGATGCTTACAGACGTTCCTATACAATTTCTGCTATAGAAGGCAAAGACAAGACAAGACAAAAACTTGGCTTGCGAGGGCATAGAGACGTACAGGAATGCGAACTTGGGGTTCTTAAGGAGCCCCCGAATGGCTTCAAAGTCAAAGATGGTCCTGCAGCAACAGCAGTAGCAACGGCAGCAGCAACAACAGCATGGGGCAAATGGCATGAGTTTTTGAATAGACCCAGAACGAGAACTTGGGGTTCTTGAGGAGCGCCCGAATGGCATCGAAGTCGAAGATGGTCCTGCAGCAACAGCAGTAGCAACAGCAGTAGCAACAGCAGTAGCAGCAACGGCAGTGTGAAGCGAATGGCGTGACATTAAAAGGGGAGGAAGGCACTGCATTGGGAACGGAGTGAACACACTTTTGCACCAAGGGAGAAAATAGCAGGATAGATGGATCATGGAAGGGACGCAAGCTAGTGACAACTAAGGGGACAGCGGAGGGTAAGACAAGGACAGAGGACTGGCTTCATGAGCTTGATGTAGTCCTCAGCATAGTTTCCTGGTTCATTTTTGGAAAAAAAAAAGGAATGTTTCAACTGAAGGGGAGTGATGTGTGACTGACTTCATGAGTTTGATGTAGTCCTCAGCAGAGTCAAACACCTCCACCTCGAACTTGCCATTCGGGCCGTCAAAGGACTGCAGCCCGATGGTGCTGATGTCCACCTGGATGCAGGAGCCACAGGGGAGGCAAGAGGAATGGGAAGGCAGCGCAGAAGGTACAAGGCACAGCAGAGTCGAGCACCAACTTGCCATTCGGGCTGTCAAAGGACTGCAGCCCGATGGTGCTGATGTCCACCTGGATGCAAGAGCCACAGGGAAGCTTAGAAGAGTGTGGAGGCAGCGCATAAGGTACAGAGCAGAGTGGAGCGGAACATCTCCACCTCAAACTTGTCATTTGGGCTGTCAAACGATTGCAGCCTTATAGTGCTGATGCCCACCTACCACGGGAAGCAAGGAAAGCAATAGGAAGGAGCACCAGGAGGAAGCCAGCATGCTTTGTATTCACGTTGGAGTTTCCAGAGATAAACAAATTCCATGATACCTCGGGCAGGCCTTCAGCGATCTTGAGCTCGGAGATGGTAGTGGTGTGCTGGTAGATCTGGTTGGTCAGGCCTTCAAGAGCTGAGCTTAAGCTCTTACACCTGTAATTCGCGTCCAATTCTTCACGGGGACTAACGAGGGTTCACTAACGTACCTCGGGGAGCCCTTCAGCGATCTTGAGCTCGGAGATGGTGGTGGTGTGCTGGTAGATCTGGTTGGTCAGGCCCTCAGGAGCCGGCCCTCCGTTCTCGCAGTTGTACTTGATGCCAAAGTCCTCGTGCGGCCCACCGGGGTTGTGGCTCGCTGTGAGAATGAACGCTCCATACGCCTTGTCCCCCTGTTTCAGGCAACCGGGTGACAGAAGGCACTGCTCTTAGGCATAACCAGTCGCTGCTGAGAAGATTCAGAGCTGAAAATTTGAAGGCCGCCAGAGGCTTCTCGTCTGAAATATAGGATTCCGAAGTCATTGAAAAAGTGCCTGAATTGATAGTGGAATAAGAATGCTAGATCTTTACCTGGATGCCAACGCGATCGCGGATGATTCCAGACACGGCTGGCGTGGAGAGGAGGCTGTCCTGACCCACCCAGATCCGGCGAACTCCATTGCCGGCTGCGATCTTGGCGATAATCTGTCATGCATTCAAGGCGACGACAAAGATTCAAGTCGTCATCGATTCAGGTCGCCATGGATTCAAGTCACTATGAATTAAAGCCGTGACGGATATTGTCGTCATGGATTCCCGAACCAGAAAACCGCAATATACGAGCATACCAGTCAGATTTCAAGGACACGAAAGGCACGCGAATGGATGTGATGGTCCGTAAGAGCGGAGTCCAGCGTTACCTGAACCGCGTCCTTGGAATAGTACCGACCGTCACCGGAAACCACGAGAGTGCAGCCTGAGTAGGAGAGAAAACAGACCAGACCATGTCAGAACCGGGAATGGTAACACCCCAGCAAGATTTCACGTCCGATGGTTCAACAAATTAGTCTGAACCATGCCAGACTAGGGAACTGCGATGGAGAGAGACTAGGTGCCTGACTCTCGAGACGTTTAAAGATGAAGGCTACGATGAGTTCTCAGAGTTCTTACGGAAAAGCGTATTCACGGAAAAGAATCGAAGTCTGGGAGGAGGATCTAAACTGCATGCTTACCCTGGATCTTGTCAGCGGGAAGCGAATTGAAGGTTGCCTGAACGAAATTCGCCAAGTAATTCGGCTGTTGGAAGACCGTGACCTGGTAACACAACGAATTGGGCCGGATTTCGCGAATAAGATGACAGGCGGTCGATTTTTAAGCTTGTTTTAAGCGAACAAAGCAGGAGTGCTACCTTCTTCCTTAGGCCCGAGGTCCCGGGCTTCTGTCCCTCATAAGGGGTAGTAGGCTGAGTGGCAATGGTAAACGCCATGAGGCTAGGCGAGAAAGACCGCTGCAAGAAGAAAGGTAATCGGCGAAGGATGATGTCGCAGATTTACAAGCTGCTGCTTCCCAATGTACTGGCTGGTTATTGCTGTCTTGCTCAAATGTTTCACTTGAGCCTGTGAATCTGTGACTGATGGCGGAAGCTGTGAGTCCGTGAATGTGTGAATCTGTGAAATCGTGAATTCAGGGATCAAGGGCAAATCTTGCTTCTGGAATCTGGTCCTACTACTACAGTCTAGCCATGGTGATTGTCAGAGGAGGTGGTGAAATTCGCGGTTTCTTGGATATGTCAGATGTGTGTGTGACGTCGATGTTTCGCTTGACGCACACTCGACGGCTACGATTTGAGGAAAGAGGATATTGGAAGCGCCGCGCGAGGCTGCCTTGGGGGTTGGCCCGCACAAGCACAGGAAGGGAGCACTGCCTGCCATCGAACGCCACGTGGCTCGGCGTATCCTTCAACCGAAGTACAAGGGCCATTTTCAACGGCATTCAACTTATGCCAGTGCGATTATGCAGATGCATACAATGAACGGCCGTAGGGGAAAGAGGCTGACGGACTGTTATCTGCCCGTGGTCAGAAAAAACTAAACCCCGTCTAGATGGCATGCGACTGGGGGAGCCTCAACCCTAAACACGGGTAACCGCATAGTTTTGCCGGCAGGCCGACATTTTTCCCTGAACCGTTTATTGCATGCATTTGCAAACTTGCACTAGGAAAATCTGCATGCAGTAGGTAAAAGCCGGAAGTACAATGTTCTCCTTATGATCACATCGTTGTAGTGGAATGTCCTACAGTGTGATTTTCAGAAGCAGTGATGCAATGTTTTTTCACTTGATAGCTTTAGAATTTGATATCAACCGGGAACCGTTCCTAACCGCGAGGTAAAATCTGGAACCGTGATTCGAATATGACCTGTGCAGCAAGTGAATGGTCGGCTTTACAGAGCTCCGTCCGACCAAACCTCCACCGTTGCAGCGCAGAAAATTCAACCATTTTCACGACTCAGAGCACCGTTCGTCGATCTCGATTCCACCATTTCGTGATGCTCACTGTAAAATTCGCGACAGCGGTGATCCCCTCCCCACCTGCAAAAGTTCGCGGCACAAATCTGCTGCGCATTCCCACCCACCTCTGCGAGCTGTCATCAGGTTTCCGCGTTACCGAATGTGCAAAAAAGTGTTGAACGAACAGGCTCGCAAGCACCTGCGACGAACCAACGAGGAAGGGCGATTCTGCATTATTTCGCCAAATTTGCCGCCACACGAAGGCACCTCCCCTGCCCGACAGCCCGAAGCGCTGGCTTGGACAGCCTGGATTATGAGAAGTTTGCTCAATCCCGCGGAATCGCTCTTCGTTTTATTATCGCCACGTGGCCTGGATATGATCGCGGGAACCGCGATCTGTTTTATTGTTCCCACACATTTAAAACATTTATTTAGTTAAGTTTAGAGGGTCACATGTACTCCGCTACCCGCGGGCAAAAATAAAACCCATTCGGGCCTGGCATGCCTTAGGGAGACATCAACCCTAAACACCTAGAGGCAAGGTGTTTAGGGTTGATGCATCCCTAACGCATGCCTTTCCTATAGGGGTTTATTTTTGCCCGCGGGCAGCGCAGTACATGTGACCCACTAAACTTAACTAGTCCGCGGTATTTTAACCGCCGCTATCTTAACCACGCGAGGGTACTTCTCCTTTATCAAACTTATTTAGTCGGGTTGTTTCAAACTTTACGAGGGTAGAATCTAGCATTCCCTTCGCGAGATGACGGCAGAAAAAACTCAGTGAATGTCGAGTGTGACAAATGTCACTCCGTCTATCTTGGAGCACTAAGTGTGAGTTCCTTAGATGGAAGTGCTTTCGGCTGCAGAATCGTAGCCTCGATGACTCTGGGTGCTAATATCATTACCCAGAAACGAACAAAGGGGGTTTGAAAGAACAAAGTTCACCTGGTTAAAATACCGCGGACTAGGTGTACGCCCTCGGAGCACGATGCAGTGAGAATACTAATTCCGCCTCCGCATGCTACGCCGCGTTCTGCGCTGGAGCCGTGAGTTGCGGCGTATATAATAGCCACGACTACTCTCATGGAGCGCTGGCGGAACTCCCCGTTCCGCCGGGACGCTCCATATTTTCCTCGTTATAGTAACGCTCTGAGTTCCACTGTAAGGAGGAGACGCTGTAACGGTCGAAATCACCGGAGCTACTACGATAGCTTCGCAATCCTCGTCCTACTCGTCGTGTATTGCTTCCCCGCAGCGCGTCGGCTCGGCGCCGCCGCGACGACCGGCCCCGGCGCGGTTTCAGCCTCAGATAGAACCTCCCCCAGTTGTACCGTGTCGCCATCATCCGTGTCGTGCCCCGCGGGATTCGCCGTGACGGACGGGGGCGAAGGTGGCGCTTTCGTTCTGAACGGTCATGCTTATATCGCGGACGCGGACCAGGGAAGCGCCGCGCTCGTAGTGGGCGCGCAGGTCAATGGTAGTAGCCCAAGTAGCGCGGAAGCCAGTGAGGGGGGATCCGCGGGTTCCGCGGATAAAGGAGGATCCGCCAGTGAAGGGGGATCCGCGGGTTCCGCGTTCACTTCCGCCGCGCTCTCGCCTCCGCTCGGCGGCGGAGGCTCGGCGCTCTCGTTTTCGGCGCGCTTCACGTTCCAGCTGGAGGGGCAGAACGAGGCTGACGTGGCAAGGGGGCTTGCTTTCGTCATCACTGGCGGACCCAACACCGCCGTGGGCTCGCCCAGGTGAGATTCGACCTTCCCCAGATGCCTCTTCCCCGTCGCCCTCACTCGCACCTTACCCCCTTGAAGCTACCCCTTTTGCCCTCCCCCTACCCCCTCTCCTCCCGCCCCCTTCCCAACCTCTTCCCCCTCCCCTTCCCCCTCCCCTCCCCCCTTCCCTCCCCCATCCCCCGCCTCCCTCCCCCCCAGCCTGGGCGGCTACGGCGGCGCCGCCTTCAATACCAGCCTGGCAGTGGTGCTGAGTGGCCGCCCGCCACCCCCGCGCCTCTCCATCCCCCTTTTCCTTCCCCTTCCCCCCCACCCCATTCTCCCCTCTTCCCCCCTCCACGCCAACTCACTCCCCCTCTCCCCACACAGCCTTGCCGGCTATGGCGGCGCCGCCTTCAATGCCAGCCTGGCAGTGGTGTTGAACGGCCGCCCGCCCCTCGCCTCTCTCAATCCCCCTTTCCATTCCCTTCCCCCTCCCGGCCCTCCCCATCTCCCCTCCCTCAGCCTTGCCGGCTATGGCGGCGCAGCCTGGCAGTGGTGCTGAGCGGGCTCTTGTCATCCCCAATCCCTCTCTCAGTCACCCTTCCCTTCCCCCTTTCCCCCTCGTCCCCACCTTCCACACCCTTCCACTCTCTTCCAGCCTGGGCGGCTATGGCGGCGCTGACTTCAATGCCAGCCTGGCAGTGGTGCTGAGCGGCCGCCCGCCCATCTCTGCCGGCCTGTTGCTGGGCGGCAAGGCGGGCGGCTGTACTGCTGGATGGGCGGCTCTCAACCCCTCATCGCCTGACGCACCGCATGTACGTGACTATACGGTTATGTGGTTGTGAGACACTGTTGAGAAGAATAAAAAATCTGGGACACTGCAATGTCAATGCACCCCTCGTCTCGTCGCATGATGCTCCCCATGTATGTACGTTGAACGTGTAGGGAAAGAAGGTTGCCCAGGTGCGTGCACTGTGTGCCACACACATCCCGTGTATGTGCCCCTCCTCCCACCCCCTTCCCCCCCAGCTGCTGGTCCCGGCGCTGCAGCAGCACGCCTGGGTGGACTATGCCGCCTCCCATCGAGCTTTCCCCGTCTATCCATTCCTTACCCCATAGTGTTCTTCCCTTTCTTCTTCTGTTCCCCCTTCCCCCCTCCTCATCCCCTCCCCCCAGCTGCTAGTCCCGGGGGTGCAGCAGCACGCCTGGGTGGACTACGACGCCTCACTCGCCTCCCTCCGTCTCTTCCTCAGCGGCTCCTCCCCCACCAAGCCTGCAGCTCCGGTGCTCTCCGAGCCTGTCGACCTGGCTCGGACGGTCGGCTTGGCAGCAGACGGCAGCTGCGGGGGCAGCGTTGGCGGGGCGGCGGTGGGCGGCAGCGGTTGTCTGTTTGTGGGGTTCACGGGAGGGACAGAAGCAACGGATGAAGCTGAGATGGCAGCAGCAGGGATTGCGGAGGGAGTGGCCTCTAGAAAGAATATAATGCAAGTCAAAATTCAGTCTTTCACTTTTCAATTTCACACCACTGCTGCTGTTTCTACCTCTGCCGATGCTGCGGCTGCCACAGTCGGAACCACCAGCCTGACAGGCTTGACCGAACCAACAAGCTCGAGAGCACCGAACGTGTTCCTCGCTTCGGCCAACAGCGGCAGTGCAACAGTAGCTTTCTTTGGAGCCACAGACCCCTCTGCTGCTGCTGGCAACGGCCTCTTCTCCGTCGCCTCTCTTGATGCTGGCTCTGGCACTGCTGCTGCCACTCCTACCACTCCCACCACTGCTACAACTGTTGATCCTACCAGCACCGCATCACATCTCCCCCGCTCGCCCGATATCAGCAGTGCAACAGTAGCTTCCTTTGGAGCCACGGATCCCTCTGCTGCTGGCAACGGCTTCTTCTCCGTCGCCTCTCTCGATGCTGGCTCCAGCACTGCTGCTGCCACTGCCACAGATGCTCCTGACCCTGCCCCCTGCAACGTCACTGCCACCAGCATCTCGTGCGTTGGATTCTCCTCTTCCTCCTCTTCCTCCTCTGCTTCTCCCGGTCTCTCCTCGCTCTTCTTCGTCCTCTCTGGGGATGCTCAGGTCGGGCCCGGACCGAATTTCCCCATCTGGCTTGACACAACCACTAATGCTGCTGGCTGCGCTTTTTCCATTCCGAGCCTCAGCCTCAGCCTCGGCACCGAGGCAGGCGGGAGCGTTGGTGCAGGATCGGTGGCGTTTGAGGCGGAGTTTTCGGTGTCGTTTGCGGCGAGTGCGGATTACAACAGCTGGG